AAAAGTTCAGATAGCTATAGTGTTAATTGGGGACTTCAAGATATATGTTCACTCGCCAGAAACCTAGCATTTATAAATATCTGGTCGCCATTGTCAAAATTCACTCGCAAATGCGAGTGTTTCAGTCGCATCGTAGAGCCTTGGTTGAGTTCGATTTTTGGAAAATCTGGGGTCTGTTTCACCAAATTTTAACTAAGATAAAATCCAAATTCTAGTTATTTGATTGGATAATATTAGACTGATTTTAGTGCTTATCCAATCAAAATTGAAGTATCTACTAAAATTTGGATTTTATTTTAAGTTAAAATTTCGTGAAACAGGCCCCTGAACCAAACTGTCGGAAAAAATGGCCGCTCTTTGTATGCTCTAGGTTGTGGATTTTTAAAATACTTTTAAATGTATCACTGTTACACACTAATGATGGTTGAGTTCGAATTTCGTGAAAATTGGAATGAAACTGACTGACAAAATTTTTAAGATAGGTAGAGATGGGCGATTCTTCCAGTTATCCCAAGTGTTTTAAAGTAACTAGTTTCGTTCGTATTGAACTCTTCAGACTGGTTAGACTCAAAAGTGAAGTTCTATTTGTACTATTCCGGGACCCCGGTAAAAGAATTTACCGGGGTTAGTATTTGGTGGGGTTGCCGGGGTTATTTTACTGGGGTTTGGTGTATTTTGGCGGGGTTGTTTTACCGGGGTTATGTATTACCGGGGTTTAGGTATAATGGCAGGGTTGTTTTACCGGGGTTTGGTATTATGGCGGGGTTCATGATTTTGCCGAGTGCCGAGGTTTGGCATTATGGCTAAGTACATGAATGTGCAAAGTACCGGGATTTGGTTTTTTGGCTAGGTAAGGAATAAGAAAATATGATACATAGTATGAGTAGACGTGTCCTTGACCAAGGTTTTAGGTCAAGGCGGGGGACTAGTTTTGTTCGTATTGAACTCTTCAGACTGGTAGGATGGATAGGGGAAAGCAGACCCGGGTAGGGTCTGGGGCCCGAGAGGTTTGCTTGTGTGTTCCTTAGCGAATTAGAACAAATTATGTTAGACAAATTATGTTAGACAAAGTACCTTTCAAACCTATGGTTTTTGTCCTGTATATAGATGACATCTTTCTTATCTGGACACATGTTAAGTCTAAACTTTTAGACTTCCTCCAACTTATGAACACCTTCCATAAAACCATTAAGTTCACAGCTGAATACTCCACTTCCCAAGTGGCATTTCTAGACACTACGGTTAGCTTTAACCCTGCAACTAAAACACTATCATTTGACCTTTACTGCAAACCCACAGACAAACACTCTTACCTCTCCTACACATCATGCCACCCGCCACACCTCAAACGAAAGGGACCTTACAGCCAATTTCTCAGAATCAAACGTATCTGCACAAGCAACACAGATTATATTAAACATGCAGACAAACTGGAACTTTACTATCTCCAATGGGGCTACCCAAGAGATATTATTAAATCTAATAGAACCAAAGCCGATTCCATTCAGAGGATCAATCTCCTCACCCCTAAAACCATGGTCAAGACTACCAAACGCCCGGTATTTATTACGGATTTTAATCCTACTTCGGTATGTATCAGTAAAGTTATTAAGGACAACTGGCACATTCTCTTAAGCTCCCAGGACTGCCTGAGGGCCTTCCCCCTTCCTTGCCTTACAGCTTTTAGACGGAACCCCTCCCTAAAAGACATTTTAACCTCAGCCACCATAAAAAAACACACACGAAAACCTCAAGTCAGTGGAAAGAGTTATGCATACCTAGACACTATATGCAACTTAGCCAATTGTCAATATTGTAACACACTCAAAACGTACAAATGTCCCAACAACTGGACCTGCCACAGCAAGAATGTAATATATCTTCTTACTTGCAATCTTTGTCTCAAGCAATACACAGGTGAAACGAAGAGACTATTCCGCATTAGGCTGAAGGAGCACTACACCCCAGTCACCTCCCACTTCAATTTACCAAGACATTCTAGCCGAAACCTCGACTACCAAATTATCAAACAACTTGGCACAGACCCTGAGCTTTATACTTCTACTACCAACAGACGTACAATTGAATTACATTGGATTATAAGATTCAAAACCTTCCAACCACACGGTATCAACGACAAAATTTGAACTTGGGCACCCCCCCCCCCCTTTTTATACGCCCACATTGAAATGTGGTCGTATATTGTTGTTGCCCCCGTCCGGCCGGCGGTCCGTCCGGCAGCCACAATTGCTTGTGGACGCTCTAGAGGCTAAAGTTAATATCCGATTGACTTTAAATTTATATACAGTGTTTAAGGTCATGAGACGAAGAAGCCTATTGATTTTCAGCGATTTCCGATAATTACTGCCAGAGTTATGGCCCTTGATCACTTCAAAAAATCTTGTGGACGCTCTAGAGGCCAAAGTTAATATCCGATTGACTTTAAATTTATACACAGTGTTTAAGGTCATGAGACGAAGAAGTCTATTCATGTTCAGCGATTTTCGATAATTACTGCCAGAGTTATGGCCCTTGATCACTTTGAAAAATCTTGTGGACGCTCTAGAGGCTAAAGTTAATATCAGATTGACTTTAAATTTATACACAGTGTTTGAGGTCATGAGACGAAGAATCCTATTGATTTTCAAACATTTCCGATAATTACTGCCAAAGTTACAGCCCTTGATCACTTTGAAAAATCTTGTGACGCCATAGAGGCTAAAGTTATCATCCGATTGACTTCAGATTGATACACAGAGTTTAAGATCTAGATACGAACAAGTAAATTTTTATGACTTGAACAGCTAAATCCATGATATTAAAAATTTTGTATACTAAGCGTTAGCATGGGGCAGAACTTTATAATAACCAAACAAATTCTAATGGTTTTCTGATAATTACTTCATGAGTTGTTACTCTTAATCAGATTTCAGTGTATTATAAATGAAAAAAGTAAAAATATGCGACAACACATGTTGACTGCCCGGATGATTTAGCTGATGATCATATGATCAAAATATGATCATAACTTTGTTACAGTTCTTTAAATTTATACACAGTGTTTAAGGTCATGAGACGAAGAATCCTATTGATTTTCATCGATTTCCGATAATTACTGCCAGAGTTATGGCTCTTGATCACTTCAAAAAATCTTGTGGACGCTCTAGAGGCCACAGTTAATATCCGATTGACTTTAAATTTATACACAGTGTTTAAGGTCATGAGACGAAGAAGCCTATTGATTTTCAGCAATTTACGATAATTACTGCCAGAATTATGGCCCTTGATCACTTTGAAAAATCTTGTGGATGCTCTGGAGTCTAAAGTTAATATCCGATTGACTTTAAATTTATACACAGTGTTTAAGGTCATGAGACGAAGAAGTCTATTCATTTTCAGTGATTTTCGATAATTACTGCCAGAGTTATGGCCCTTGATCACTTCAAAAAAACCTTGTGGATGCTCTAAAGGCTAAAGTTAATATCTGATTGACTTTAAATTTATACACAGTGTTTGAGGTCATGAGGCGAAGAATCCTATTGATTTTCAAAGATTTCTGATAATTACTGCTAAAGTTATGGCCCTTGATCACTTTGAAAAATCTTGTGGACACCCTAGAGGCCAAAGTTAATATCCGATTGACTTCAGATTGATACACAGAGTTTAAGATCTTGAGGCGAACAAGTATATTGATTTTCAATGATTTTTTATGACTTGGAACAGCTAAATCCATGATACAGTATTAAAAGTTTTGTATACAAAACGTTAGCATGGGGCAGAACTTTATAAAAACCAAACAAATTCTAATGGTTTTCTGAGTTGTTGCTCTTCATCAGATTTTAGTGTATTATAAATGTTTCATTACCGAAAAAAGTAAAAATATGCGACAACTCTTGTTGACTGTCCGGACGATTTAGCTGCTGTGGGCGTATGTTTCGTTGCCTTGCAACCTATCTTTATTCTCTTTATGACAAAATTTTTATTCAATTTTGATGAAACTTAAAATGTATTTTTATATCCCAAATATCACAGTCCCTTTCGGTATTTGCACATTTCAGACCTTCACTTCCTAAACTATGGCCCCTGATTGTACAAAAAATTGCTTCTTTTTTTTATACGCCCACATGTTCATGTGGACGTATATTGTCGTCGCCCCTGTCCGTCCGTCCACAATTTGTTTGTTGACACTCTACAGGTCATAATCCTTATCCGATTTTGACGAAACTTAAAATATAGGTTTATCTGCAAAAGATCTCGACTGCTTTCCATATTGGCATGTATCGGATCGAAACTTCATGGATTATGGCCCCTGTTTGTACGAAAAATCTCGTTTTTAGCTTGTGGACCCTATAGAGGTCACAATTTTTATCCAATTTTGTTGAAACTTGAAATGTAAGTTTATAACAAAAAGATCTCGGTTCTTTTCGATATTTGCGCATATCGAATTGTAATTTCTTGAATTATGGCCCTTGATTGTAGGAAAAATCACGTTTTTAGTTTGTGGACCCTATAGAGGTCATTATTTTTATCCGATTTAAAAAAACGTTTTAGTGTATCACCGTTACACCCTAAGGATGGCTGAGTTCGAATTTCGGGAAATTCGGCCCAAAACTGACAGGCAAAATGGCCGCTTGTTCTCAAATAGCGTAAAAAAATGGTATATCAAGGTTGTGGATACTATAGGGGTCACAATTTTTGTCCGATTTTGTTGAAACTTGAAATATAAGTTTACAACCCAAAGATCTTGGTTCCTTTCGAAATTTGCGCATATCGAATTGTAATTTCCTGAATTATGGCCCTTGATTGTAGGAAAAATCACTTTCTTTTAAGCTTGTTCTCTATCCATCTCTTGAAAATGTGGGCGTATCCTGCCTGGCAGCCGCTGCTTTTAGTTTGTTGTCTATCCATCTCTTGCGAAATGTGGGAGTATCTTGCCCGGCAACTGCTGGTTGTTTGTGTTTTGAGAAGGATTATAAAGTAATTATGTTTTATTATTAAAGGGTTGCTTCACACAGTGATCAAAATCAAATGAGTGCTGCCAATTTGGGTATAGTATTTGGTCCAACATTGTTGAAACCATAGTAAGTACGATTTTACATATTATATTTCAAACGACTACTGGGACCGTACAATATAAAAACATTTATAATTTCATAAAATTATCATAAAATGGAAAAATATCATAAAAATATAAAATTTCTGTATTTCTCATAAGATGATCATAAAATGAGACGAAAATTTTTTCAAAATATAAAATTAACCTTAAATAATTTTCTATACTGATAAATCTGGATGTGAATAAGAAAATTATCCAGATGACCCCCAGCTTGCTGCTCTCTTCCATTTTCTATTTGAACGCTCTAATGGCAAAGGTTAACATACACTCTTTTGGACATTTAAATGCAATATTTAAGTTAGTGAAACGAAGAAGCCTATTGAATTTCAACAATTTCTGTTTATTACGTCCAAAGTTATGGCCCTTGTTTCACTTCTTTGAACCTTGTGAACGCTCTAACTGCAAAAGTTATCTGATCTTTCTGAAATTTATATGCATTATTTAAATTAGTGACACGAAGAAGCCTATTGAATTTCAGCAATTTCTATTTACTATATCTAGAGTTATGGCCCTTGTTTCACTTGACTGCACCTTGTGAATGCTGTTAAGGCCAAAAGTTAGCACCCAATCTTTGTGAAATTTAAATTAGTGAAACTTATATGCATTATTTAGATTACTGAAACGAAGAAGCGTATTGAATTTCAGCAATTTCCGTTTATTACGTCTAGAGTTATGGCCCTTGTTTCACTTTATTGATCGTTGTGAACGCTCTAATGTCAAAAGTTATCATTCGATCTTTCTGAAATTTATATGCATTATATGTTTCACTTTATTGATCCTTGTGAACGCTCTAACGTCAAAAGTTATCATCTGATCTTTCTGAAATTTATATGCATTATTTAGATTACTGAAACAAAGAAGCCTATTGAATTTCAGCAATTTCCATTTATTACGTCGAGAGTTATGGCCCTTGTTTCACTTTATTAGGGTTTCACACTATTGTTTTTGTTCGGATTATTATTCTTATTATTATTATTATTTTTTCATTTGAGCATATCTCAGAAACTACTTATCGGATCGATTCGATGTCTTCGGTTTTACTGGGAAAGTGGGTTTGACTTAAATTTTAAAGCTATTTCCAACGTTCTGCGACAATGCGAAATGTCCGAAATCACCAAAGTTGTCGTTTTTCGATATTTTGCCATAATGTTATCAATAATTGTCAGATTGTAATATTTGATACATTTTGACATAGCCAGAGACAAGGCACATAGCTACAGTTCTTTGGATTTTTTATTTTCGACGAATCTTAGGAGATATTAGGCGCCAAATTTTGAAAATTTAAATTTTTACAAAAAACTTTTTTATTAATGAATATTTTTATGTGGTATTTTACTTAGGGTTAAAGAGTCATCTGATTTGACCAAAAATGGCAACATTTTTTGCCACCGTATTTTTCCTTGGCCCCCATTGGCTATTTCAGTTTTTCAGTCCTGGATTAATTATTTATTGTTCGATTTGCATAAAACAAAGTTCATATGCTCCGTGGTCCAAAATGTCATTTTTTTTGTTACCAGTAAAATTGCCTTTCGGCAACGGAAGTGACGTAAATTTAGCAAAAACTACAATTTTGAGAGTTCGGTACCACTTTTTGAAAGCAAATATTATTTTTTTCAAATCTGGTATAACTGAAAGGATGTGCCCTGTAAAGGCGCAGAAAACATCGGACTAACTTTTTTTAATTTCGATTTCGTTTTCGGGTAATTTCGATTTAAAGGCGAAAAAGGGTGAAATTGACTATGATATTTGCTCAAAATTTTGTTTTAAATGTGAGTCGATTGGAAAACACCTGACTGGAGAAGAGCAAAAAGCATGGCAATTATCACACCAATCAGAATGTCAGATCAATTTTTCTGGGCCATCTGGAAACATGGAGCCAGCTATGGCAGTGAAATTGTGGCAAAGATCTCTGGACATAGGGGGATTTCGCTACACCACATTCGTTGGTGATGGGGACAGTAAGACATTTACGAAACTCTTAGAGATTGAGCCGTATGGCCCTGATGTGAAAGTATAAAAAGAAGAGTGTATAAATCACATCCAGAAACGCATGGACACTGGACTTTCAAAACTTGTGAAAGACTCAAAAGTCAGCTCAAAAGTATCAATGGGTGGGCGTGGCAAGTTTACGAAAAACAGGATTCTTAGATGGCAGAGCTATTTCAGGAATGCCATCGTAAACCATTCATCTATATTAGAAATGCAAAATGCTATCTGGGCAATATTGTTTCACTCCATCAAGTCCCCAGCCCCTTTAAATGTGCAGCATAAACATTGTGTCGATTGGTGCTGGTACCAAGCCTCCATAAAAAATGGAACGGACCCCGATATCGAAAAATCAAACAGACAGCTAGAAAATGAACTTGATAACGACATTGGCAAAAATATTATCCCACTTTTCAAGCGCCTTACCGATCCTGAACTTTTAAAGAGGTGCTCAAAAAAAGCGACACAAAATCAAAATAAATCATTTCATAGCGTTCTTTGGAAAAAAAAATTCCAAAAATCAATTTGTAAACTTAACTACATTGGAAACATCAATGGGATTAGCAGTGTTGGAATTTAATGAAGGTAAAAAGAATACTTTCAATGAAATTTGTAAGGACCTGCTAATCCCACAGAGCATCTTAACACAATCTGTCATGATAAAAGCGGACAAACGACGGTTGTCTGGAGCGCAAAGGGCTGCCTCCAAAGATTCGAAGCAGGCCAGAATTGTGAAAAAAAATTTAAAAAAGACAAAAGAAGATAAAGATAGGTTGCCAGGCAACTAAACATATGCCCACAGCAGCTAAATCGTCCGAGCGGTCGACAAGAGTTGTCGTATATTTGTTCTATTGTAGGTAATTAGGTGGCATTTAATAGACAATTTCATACCGATGACATTATAATTTTCGTCGTTTGAGGGTTCACGAGGTTCTAAAAACTAAAATAAGGACTGTAACTCTGGAAGTAATCTACAGAAATTGTTGAAATTCGACAGTCTTTTTCGTTTTACTAATTCAAATAATACATATCAATTTCATACAGATCGGATGATAACTTTTGTCGTTTGAACGTTCACAAGGTTCAACAATGTACAACAAGGTCCATAACTCTAGAAGTAATTGACAGAAATTGCTGACATTCAATAGACTTCTTCATTTCACTAATTTAAATGACGCATATGAATTTCATACAGATTGGGTGATAACTTTTGTCGTTCAAGCGTTCAAATTGTTGAAATTCAATAAGTGTCTTTGTTTTACTAATTTAAATGATGCATATCAATTTCAAACAGATCGGATGATAACTGTTGTCATTAGAGCGTTCAAAAGATTCAACAAAGTGAAACAAGGGCCATAACTCTAGATGTAATTACGGAAATTGCTGAAATTCAATAAGCTTCTTTGTTTTACTAATCTAAATGATGCATATAAATTTCATACAGATCGGATAATAACTTTTGTCGTTAGAGCATAAACAAGGTGCAACAAAGTGAAACAAGGGCCATAATTCCAGACAAAATTAACGGAAGTTATTGAAATTAAATAGGCTTCTTCATCTCACTAATGCAAACAACATATATCAATTTCAAAATAATCAGATGATAAATGTAGTCTGTAGAGTGTTCACAAGAAATTGTGGGCGGACGGGGGCGACGGCAATAAACGACCACATTTCCATGTGGGCGTATAAAAATGATTTGCTAGAGAGTCTATATGCCCCTGGTATATGTAATATCAATGAATAGGCCCATTAAATACCTAATATTACAATGTTCAACTTTTCGTCTTAATTTCTCAAAAGGTAAAAAATCAACAATCGACAACCTTACAAAAAATCGTTCTCTAAAAGTTTACAACCTATATGTCTGAAACTCACACATATACTTTTATAATGTTAGTTCCATGCAAATAAGGATTTTCAGTACTCTAAATGAATATTTGGAGTAGTAAATTGACATTTGAAGTTTGCTCAGTGAAGCAAAATTTTTCATATTTTGATGTTTTGTTGACATAGAATGATAAGTAAGGACTCAATAACAACACTATATAGATAATTGCACAGAGAAATGTCCTGGGAACATTATAAAAAAAGTTCCAGGCCTCTATCTTGGATACTTTTAGAGAATGATTTTTTTTTTAGCAGGGTACCCTAGTAAAAATGAAATTTTTCGTTTCCATGGTAACCAATATTGCAAATTTCCCCAAAACTGCTGACGTATCCTGCCTGGCAGCCGCTGGTTTCTTTAAAATTTGAAAATTTACTAAAATTGTTATTTCTTTAAATTTTTGAGTTTTCGATTGCATATTTAGATTGCCGCCGTCTGTCCGATTCTACCGATCTAGGTTCATTATGTTGTGAATTGTTCAACGATATTTTTCACTTTCCTTCTATCGTAATGCGCATGCGGAGAATGTTGGAATATCTCAGTTATGCAAGTGTGTATTTTGGGGGGGGGGGGGAGATAGTCTTTGTCTTGCATCTGGCAACTGTGTAACGCATGGCTATGGTGAAAGCCTTCAGTCTTGCAAGCAAGTCTAGTTATTTCTGTTTTACAATGCTCTACCCCTGAGTGTTCCAACTTTGGATTTATATTTAGCCTTTTAAATCTCTCACAGGTGTTACCTCAACACCCTTGTCTATATACTATACCTTCATTGTTATGACAAGTAACAATGTTACAAACCAACCAAAGGCATCCTAGTTAGCAAAATTCTGGACACTAGCACTTCAATCTAAACGATCAGTTGTCAAACCTCTGTACAACCCCGGTAAGCCAGCTACCGATCCCGGTAACAAATTCACACACCCCACCAAGAGGCCAACCCCGGTAACCCTGCCAAGTTGTCAAACCTCTGTACAACCCTGGTAACAAATTCGCAAACCCCGCCAAGAGGCCAACCCCGCCAATTAGTAACCATGGAAACCCCACCAGGGTCTAGGAATAGTGTAAATATAAACGCCTGCCACGTGAGTCCAATCAGTCTGAAGAGTTCAATACAAACGAAACTAGTCACTGACACTAGGGGTAACTAGGCCTACCTATATATAAAATCAAGTAACATTTCGGCAACAACTTCATGAAGTTCGTCATTCTTGTAATCAGAATTGGGTGAAATCATTCCAATTTTCATCTCCCTACTTCTCCACATAAAACTCCCAACTTTCAATTTTACTCGAGTGAATCACTTTTAAGGCAGATGTGCCAGTAAATTATAGCGATTGACTGTGTAAAAATAAACATCCAATCAGATTTCCTTTCTCAAATTAAAGCTTACCGCAAACAAGCTGAGTGAATCGAAGCAAAGCTCTCTAATTCAATTAAGTTAACAGTAGGTATAGAGTAGTGGTGCTTATCAAGTGACCAACGAAAAGTTTGATCCAAACGTCTTAAAAATGCTAGTGTCCGGATTAGCCGTTGTAATGTCAGGTCCAAATGACTTCATATTTTGAACTGAACTTTTCAGACAAGGTAAATACACTATTCCTCTATATTTTGGCATTTAAATTTCATTTGTATACAGATTGTTATGTCTTCGGCTCTATGAAATTCGGGAATATCCCTTTAACTGATTTAATACCATCATATACATAAAAAAAAGAACACCCTCCTACATGACAAACACTAGTGCTTCAGTCAATTTTATTTTTACCAGAAAATTCCAGATTTTTCAACATAAAATTGCCCGATAACCTACTAATTTTGTTTGTGTGGCCTTATTTTGACATTGCTATAAATTTCATGTTTTTATCCTCTGTTAAATGATATAAATATACTGACTGCTTGTGGTTCTAGACTTATAAGGTGGGTTGGGTGGCCAAATTCATCACAAGATCTATGATTGAGTCAAGGGGCGTGATTTTGATTTCCTGCATGTTTGTATGTGACGAGGAGTAGGGTTGACTGTCAAACCTCGTTGATTTTCTCCGGTTTCCTCCCACTGCTAAAAACACCTGGGGGCAAGGGAATTATTGAAATAAAATTGAACCATATGTTTGTTGAGTGGACCTTATATCCCATTTATTTAGGGAAAGGATATCTACCGATTTTGGTAAATTTGTATGAATATCGGTCAAATTCTAATTATCGCAACAAATCTAATACGAAGAGGCTAAAATCTGTAGATATGGTGTGTTAATTAACAGGGGTCAGAAATTGACTGAAAGGTGATTTAATTATCACTAGGGGTGAAAATCTCTGCGACTTTTCTGTACTGGGTGTGTTAATTAACGGACGGGTTGAAAACTGACACGGTGTGTATTCTTTGTTTGGTGAGTTTTCTCGAAAAGGTGTTTTATCAAGGACTAGCAGGCTTATTAATGAAAACCTATTGGTTTCGTCATGTCTATATTTACTACACGTGGGCGTTTTAATTTATTAATGTATTGTTTCTTAGCTGGGTTGTAAATAGGACTATCCAAGAAAAAAGTAATTTCCACACATATAATTATAACAAATGATAATTCACATATCAAATAACACTAATGCAAATAGGGACATGCGCCAGCGTCCACCTACAGTGATATTGCCCATTGTCGAACCGAGCTGTGTATGACCTAATATCGTTGACACGTGTCCATATATAGCCGCTTGTGATATGATCAAACGTTGTCACAAAATTGCCTTTGCATGCAAAATACATGTACAGACCTTTGACTTAATATGGAAATAGGGGCTTTACAAGAACAGCTAAATTTAAACACTTGTTAATATTTCTATTGTTTACGATTGTATGAAATAGTTTATTATTTTTCTCCCGGTACTAATAAACTACGGTTCGAGTGGATCCAATTTTTATTATGTAATTTATATACGTGATGACAGATCGAGAGCACGGGCTCCATGTGTCGCCAACTTGTTCTATTTATAAAAGCATGCAATCACCTTTGGAAATCAGATAGTTTCCAGTCTAAGACAACTTTAAAAAAAAATTTGTTATTCCGGTTGCATTATTTGAAAAGATTTTCATAATATGCCGTAGTAATTTGTGATTTTGTTTTTATTATACGCCCACATTTTAATGTGGACGTATATTGTCGTCGCACCTGTCCGTCCACAATTAGTTTGTGGACACTCTACAGGTCACAATTCTTATCCGGTTTTGATGAAACTTGAAATATAGGTTTATCGCCAAAAGATCTCGGCTGCTTTCGATATTAGCTTGTAACGGACCTTAACTTCATGGATTATGGCCCCTGTTTGTACGAAAAATCACGTCTTTAGCTTGTGGACCCTATAGAAGTCACAATTTTTATCCGATTTTGTTAAAACTTGAAATGTAAGTTTATAACACAAAGATCTCGGTTCCTTTCGATAATCGCGCATATGGGACTGTAACTGCCTGAATTGTGGCCCCTGATTGTACGAAATATTGCGTTTTTAGCTTGTGGACCCTATAGAGGTCATAATTTTTATCCGATTTAAAAATACGTATTATTTTATCACCGTTACACCCTAAGGACGGCTGAGTTCGAATTTCGTGAAAATCGACCCAAAATTGACAGACAAAATGGCCGGCGTTTGTTCTCAAATAGCGTAAAGATATGGTATATCAAGGTTGTGGACCCTATAGAGGTCACAATTTTTATCCGATTTTGTTGAAACTTGAAATGTAAGTTTATAACCCAAAGATCTTGGTTCCTTTCGATATTCGCGCATATCGGACCGTAACTTCCTGAATTATGGCCCCTGATTGTACTAAAAATCACGTTTTTAGCTTGTGGACCCTATAGAGGTCTGATTTAAAAAAACGTATTATTATATCACCATTACACTCTAAGGACGGCTAAGTTCGAATTTCGTGAAAATCGACCCAAAACTGACAGACAAAATGGCCGCTTGTTCTCAAATAGCGTAAAAATATGGTATATCAAGGTTGTGGACCCTATAGAAGTCAAAATTTTCATCCGATTTTGTTGAAACCCGAAATGTAAGTTTATAACACAAAGATCTCGGTCCCTTTCGATATTTGCGCATATCAAATTGTACTTTCCTGAATTATGGCCCTCGATTGTAGGAAAAATCACTTTCTTCTTAGCTTGTTCTCTATCCATCTCTCAAAAATGTGGGCGTATCCTGCCTGGCAGCCGCTGGTTGTTAATTCTGTTTAATTGTGAACATTTCAAAATGTAAATATCTGATGAAAAACAGATCTATAATCATGGATACGAGTTTAGAATAGTGTTATAGCATGATTTATTTGATAATGGTCTGTTAATACCATATATGAACATCTGACATGTAAAATTGTGTTAAAGAATTGGACTAATGTCTTCATAGGGAATGATTTCTGTAACAACAATTTATTGCTGTAGTGATCTATTTCAACATTTTCACTATACATGTATTTTAAAGTCATAGTTTTAAACTTATTGCTTCATTTGCAATATTTCCGGTCATATATTATGCCAAATTGATTCCCACATTATTAAACTCTTCAACTTTTAGAACGTGCATAAAACACATGTCCAGAATTTGATGTTAACAGCTAAATTAATAAATTTGACAAAACTATTTCAGAACAACAATAATTTCTAATGCACCTTTGATGTAATTAAAATATCTCTAGCTGTGGTGTTTATTCGTTTGACAAATTACAGTTTTGAAATAGAATACACAACACATCTATATTAATTTACAGAGTCATATTTTGAATTTTAATAAACCAAAGTTCATTCAAGAAAATTATTGTTGTGTTCTAATAAATTAAGTTTACCTAGGCCCTGTTTCTCAAATCTTAACTAAAGATAAAATCGTGAAACAGGCCCCAGGTTTAAAATACATATTCACTAAAATTGTTGGCTGTGGTGATAATCAATTTTGTTGCCCCTAATAAAGTCTGTCAATTAGCAGTTGTTATATAACATCTTGGTCAATGGTGATCCAAGTTGGTGTTCAGCGAAGTGTACTTCCTGCTCTGATGGCAGTTTGTGTGGTAATATGTGACTTTATCACCCAATAATACATTCTACAGTAGATATCGCTTATGTGATATATTTCATAATCTACTGCGATATCTCCTTAGGAGATATCGCTTTACATGAATTTGATTGGTCAGTTAAAAAGGAACTACTTTTTTTTTATTTTCAAAGAACAGTTCATTTCTTATTAAAAGTAACTTTTTTTTAAAATAAAAATGAACTATTGTTTTTCAATTGCTGTCAAAAAATGATGTATCACTATGCCGTAATGTTCAGTAAAAGTGAAATCTACAGCAAAGAATTATATTTATCTATTTGTGCATGTAAGAAGGGATTGGGTGATATATAAAATCTCCTCGTCTTTTCTGAGATCAAAAAATATCAACACTCGTTGATAATGTAAAAAAAAAAACTCGGCAGAGCCTCGTTTTTTGTTACTTTATCAACTTGTGTTGATATTTTTTGATATCAAAAAAGACTGGTAGGAGATTCTCTATTTATAATACACATTCACTAAAATTGTTGAGCTGTGGTGATGATCAATTTTATTGCCCCAAATAAAAGTCTGGCAATTAGCAGTTGTTATATAACATCTAGTGATCCTAGACCAGGAGCCCAGAGGGTCAACCTAGTTGAAAAGTGTACCAATTTTCTCCTATATGGTATCGATGCATGTATATCTGGAATCATCAGAATGTAAGTCTGCTGGGTTTCTGATGGTGGGTGTGGTATTCCAAGCCTAAAATGGCATGCCCCCAACTGGTCTAATTCACCTTTCTGTCAATTTCTCACCCCTGTTAATTAACACTCAGAATCTACAGATTTTAGCCTCTTCGTATTAGATTTGTTGCGATAATTAGGTAGATATCTATACCCTAAACGTACAAATAACACTATTACTACTTCTCAGTGATAATTACATCATTTTAAATTATGAGTATGTCTTTGGTTATGTTCAAAGAGAGGCAATCATCAGGAATATAATTATATTTAAAAATGTTATATTGTAATTTCAGTGAAGGTGTGGCATCTCTAGCATCACTGGTTGATACACCACATCAAACACTGGCTATAGAGATGTTAATATCATCAGCACAGGTTCATTTTTACATTCTTCTATTTCTATTATTAACACAAAATTGTGCTACAAGAAGGTGGGGTGGGATTAGTTGGATTACCCAACCATGTTTAGTAAAGTTTGTGATCTATGAATGTTGGCAACTCTAGGTTATTCAAATATATGGCCAAAATTTAGATAGCTTATAAAAGTTTTGATCTGAAATTTGGTAGCTCATGATATTATCAATATGTCATTGTTTGACTTGGTAAGCACAACTATTGTGTACAATGGTTTATTCAACAGTTTGTATGTATGTCATTCAAAGATTATCACATGGATTCCTCATTGGGAAAGTAAAAGTTCCTCAGAGCCCTTGAAAAATTGTTCTCTAGAATAGATTTTGAATTTGATTGTGTTTTTATACGCCCACATTTTCATGTGGACGTATATTGTCGTCGCCCCTGTCTGTCCGTCCGTCCACAATTGTTTGTGAACAGTCTAAAGGTCACAATTTTTATCCGATTTCAATGAAACTTGAAATGTTATTATTATTATTATTACAACATATTTATAGTGCACCCTTTCATATAACATGTTCAGGGGCACTTTACAAAGTGACAATGTAAATCATAAATAAACAAAAGATTATGGACATGTTAACGATTGTATACAGAGTCAGTTAAAAGCCTGATTAAATAGATGTGTTTTAAGTTCTTTTTTAAAAGAATATAGAGATGTACAGCATCTTAAACTAAATGGTAGATTATTCCATAAAACAGGTGCTTGATAACTAAAAGAGCGCTGACCATAAGAGACTAGTTGAACAGTTTTGGGCTTTAAAAGTAGTTTATCTGATGTACAAAATGTTCGGCCAGGTGTATTCAGTTTTAAAAGATCTGAGAAACAGGAGCTAAATTATTTAAACATTTAAAAGTAAGTAATAAAATCTTAAAATCAAATCGATATTTAACAGGTAACCAGTGTAAATTATATAAAACAGGAGTTATGTGGTCATATTTCTTAGTTAAAGTAACAAGTCTAGCCGCAGTATTCTGTACTTTTTGTAATTTATCTATAAGCTTTAAAGGTAAACCAACTAAAAGTGAATTAAAGTTATCTAATCGAGAAGTGACCAGAGAATTAACAAGTGACTTAGTGGCCTCTACAGTTACACATTTACGTATTTTATCTATATTTCTAATATTAAAATAGCACAATTTACAAATATTATTTACTTGAGCTCCCATAAGCATAAAACTATCAAAGATTGCGCCAATATTACGAGCAGAATAAGATGAAAATATATCACAATTACCAATTACAACAGGGGGGTTATCATGTGCAGATTTACTTAATTGATGCCTTGAGCCTAATAACAAATATTCGGTATGCTTATAACCCAAAGATCTCGGTTCCTTTCCATATTCGTGCATATCGGAACGTAACTTCCTGAATTATGGCCCCTGATTGTACGAAAAATCACGTTTTTAGCTTGTGGACCCTATAGAGGTCATAATTTTTATCTGATTTAAAAAAACGTATTATTAAATCACTGTTACACCCTAAGGACGGCTGAGTTCGAATTTCGTGAAAATCGGCCCAAAATTGACAGACAAAATGGCCGCCCCTCATTCTCAAATAGCGTAAAAATATGGTATATCAAGGTTGTGGACAATATAGAGGTCACAATTTTTATCCGATTTTATTGAAACTTGAAATGTAAGTTTATAACCCAAAGATCTCGGTACCTTTCGATATTTGCGCATATCGAATTGTAATTTCCTGAATTATGGCCCTTGATTGTAGGAAAAATCACTTTCTTTTTAGCTTGTTCTCTATCCATCTCTCGAAAATGTGGGCGTATCCTGCCTGACAGTCGCTGGTTGATTAAATATATAGTTATTTTGATATATTGTAGACGATATTTGGACCGGCTGATAATTATCAAATAATTCATGCTGAAACACCAGTAGAACAGATACCAGATACATCTAGTGATAAACATGGTGGTGCTAGTACTCAACAAGGTATATATATATATATATATATGTATATAATATAAGACATACATGAAATTAGAAATCTATGAGTGGCGAGTAGCCGTTCCAGATTTCTTTCATGAAGCTACTAGTTTCATTCAGTTTGAACTCATCAGGCTTAAGTGAGATTTTACGGATGTTCCCTTTATATTGTAAGCTACCCCAGCATCCTAGTACTGCCGGCGAGACGTTATGGAAAATACGGAGATCTGTGTTACTATATGCGGAGTGGGGAGGGAAGTATTCGTGTCCTTACTCCATTCCAACGACAGTAATTCTTTCAGTACTATGGCTTTATATTAAGGCACTCCTTGTCCGGGTTAGTTCCACCAAGGCCTAAATAGTCAATCGCCTCCATTCCTAATTTAGGTTCTCCATGCCTCCTCCTTTGTCACTGTCCTGTTAGACAAGTCCCCCGTTACTCCGCTGTCGCTGCTCAAGGAATGCTTATGCTATTCCTCCCGTGAACAGGTGATTATTTCGCTAGGAATAAGTACGCCGTATTTACCAAGGCCAATAAAGTTATTTATTAGGTTTCCACAACTGCGAATATGATTACTCTATGTATTAAAATAAATATGTAAACAGTATTAAAAGCATAAACTTTCGATGTTCAACGTGGTGGGAGATAGCATTGTCTAGAGCCAAATTTTAACGACGACGCATTACGCACACCTGAGCATAATGTCGCCACAACTCCTTAAAGTGGTGAATAGTAGAAGCCATTAAACGCTTGTAAAACATTCTGAAATATTGTATATTATAGCAGTGAAAAGGTATCGATCATGCTTTATAATATTCCTCACCTAATAAAACAATAGGTAAACTTATTACTAAAGAATAATTTGAAATATAAAGTTGATTGATATTAAGAATTCTCGAAAAGCTCCAGAGTAGAGATTCTGCTGACCGAAGTCGATTGCTATCTGCGATCACGTCGTCAACGAAGTCTTATATAGGCAACACCAGTGTACCAGGTGACCTGATTGACCAATGGTAGGTTGTCCTTTTTATACGCCCACATTTTGGACGTATATTGTCGTCGCTCCGGACGTCCGTCCGTCCACAATTGTTTGTGCACTCTCTACAGGTCACAATTCTTATCCGATTTTGACGAAACTTGAAATATAGGTTTATCACTAAAAGATCTCGGCTGCTTCGGATATTGGCATGTATCGGATCGAAACTTCATGGATTATGGCCCCTGATTTTTAGCTTCTGGACCCTATAGAGATCACAATTTTGAACCAATTTTGATGAAACTTGACATGCATGTTTATAACCCAAAGATCTTGGTTCCTCTCGAGATTTACGCCCATCGGAACGTAACTTCCTGAATTATGGCCCCTGATTGGCCGAAACATCGCCTTTTTATACGCCCAAATTGAAATGTGGTCGTATATTGTTGTCGCCCCCATCCGTCGGTCCGTCTGGCGTCCACAATTGCTTGTGGACGCTCTAAGGTTAATATCCGATTGACTTTAAATTTATACACAGTGTTTGAGGTCATGAGATGAACAAGTAAAATTGATTTTCAGCGATTTTCGATAATTACTGCCAGTGTTATGGCCCTTGATCACTTCAAAAAATCTTGTGGACGCTCTAGAGGCCAAAGTTAACATCCAATTGACTTTAAATTTATACACAGTGCTTAAGGTCATGAGACAAAGAAGCCTATTGATTTTCAGCAATTTACAATAATTACTGCCAGAGTTATGGCCCTTGATCACTTTGAAAAATCTTGTGGATGCTCCAGAGGCTAAAGTTAATATCTGATTGATTTTAAATTGATACACAGTGTTTAAGGTCATGAGACGAAGAAGTCTATTCATTTTCATTGATTTTCGATAATTACTGCCAGACTTCTAGCCCTTGATCACTTCAAAAAATCTTGTGGATGCTCTAGAGGCTAAAGTTAATATCTGATTGACTTTAAATTTATACACAGTGTTTGAGGTCATGAGACGAAGAATCCTATTGATTTTCAGCGATTTCAGATAATTACTGCCAGAGTTATGGCCCTTGATCACTTTGAACAAAATCTTGTGGACGCTCTAGAGGCTAAAGTTAATATGCGATTGACTTTAAATTTATACACAGTGTTTGAGGTCATGAGACGAAGAAGTCTATTCATTTTCAGCGATTTTCGATAATTACTGCCAGAGTTATGGCCCTTGGTCACATCAAAAAATCTTGTGGACGCTCTAGAGGCCAAAATTAACATCCAATTGACTTTAAATTTATACACAGTGCTTAAGGTCATGAGACAAAGAAGCCTATTGATTTTCAGCAATTTACAATAATTACTGCCAGAGTTATGGCCCTTGATCACTTTGAAAAATCTTGTGGATGCTCCAGAGGCTAAAGTTAATATCTGATTGATTTTAAATTGATACACAGTGTTTAAGGTCATGAGACGAAGAAGTCTATTCATTTTCAGTGATTTTCGATAATTACTGCCAGACTTCTGGCCCTTGATCACTTCAAAAAATCTTGTGGATGCTCTAGAGGCTAAAGTTAATATCCGATTGACTTTAAACTTATACACAGTGTTTGAGGTCATGAGATGAACAAGTAAATTTTTATGACTTGAACAGCCAAATCCATGATATTAAAAGTTTTGTATACTAAGCGTTAGCATGGGGCAGAACTTTATAAAAAAACAAACAAATTCTAATGGTTTCTGATAATTACTTCATGAGTTGTTACTCTTAATCAGATTTGAGTGTATTCTAAATGTTTCATTACCGAAAAAAGTAAAAATATGCGACAACATTTGTTGACTGACCGGACAATTTAGCTGCAGTGGGCATATGTTTCGTTGCCTGGCAACCTATCTTTTAGCTTGTGGTCCCTCTGGAGGTCACAATTATTATCCGATTTAAAAAAACGTCTGATTATATCACCGTTACACCGTAAGGAAGTTTGAGTTCGAATTTCGTGAAAATCGGACCAAAATTGCAGGACAAAATGGCCGCCGTTTGTACACGAATAGTGTAAAAATATGGTATATCAAGGTTGTGGACCCTGTAGAGGTCACAATTTTAATTCGATTTTGATGAAACTTGAAATGCATGTTTATAACCCAAAGATCTTGGTTCCTTTCGATATTTCCGCATATCGAATTGTAACTTCATGAATTATATGGGCGTATCCTGACACTGGTTTGGAGCGTCGAAACTAATTACAGTATAATTTTAAGGCGTGCCGACTAGTCCGGTGCTTGTCTGATATTCTTAAATAAAGCAATAATTGATTTAAAATATACAGAATAACAATTTATGAAATATTCATAAAATGGACAAGTATCAACACAAAGCCCCAGCATACATATGCCTAGTGGCGTCATGCACCATTACACAGTGAGTGATGGACAAAACGTAGTTCGTACTTTACATTACTAAGTATAGCTAATTATAAGTTAGAAAAACAATATAAATACAACAAACAAACAGTAGAAAATTAAAACGATATTTTACATTACTGGTTTAAGTAGAATATATATATTTTACAATTTAATGATGTACGTTCGTAAAACCCATTATGGACGACTAGGTTGAGATCGTTTGAATTTACAATGACATTTTATGAAATTTAGATGGTTACATACTCTAGTCCATAAAGTTTGCTACCAAGAAAATGTGATGATACAAAGACACACACTAGAGGATATAAATACATAAGTTATAGTTTCTGAAATAGTAATAATGGAAATAAATCAGACGAAAATACCGTGTTTCAATAACGACGTTCATGAAATTAAATAATCCAGTGGGGTTGTTGTAATATCAGATATTACACTTCCTCCACCCAAGTTTTAAAAATTATCCCGAATTTTGCGCTGTTGACCTTTAAATAACTAACATGGCATATGAAAACACTATACAACAATTACATCATGTAAATGGAAGTCTTTAAGCTGAATTGTCCTGTACTCTTAAAGGGATGGCTGCATCATCGATTATGTCAATGTAACCGTTGGTGTCCCGACTTCTCTGTTCTGCAGCACTTTCCAACATAGTCAGGGTCATGGTGGTGGAAGATGATACATATTTTTCCAATGCGATTTCTCTCAGTATATTGTATAGATAATATCTTGATTTTCCTTCGGCCTCTGATTTTTTCGTAGATGGCTTGAATACAGCTGTACCGGACAGAGCCCAGAGCAAGAAAATTAAATTTTAACAAAATTTGATCTCTGTCGAATGTGAATGATCCACATCTGAGGTTGAGGCGCATGCTCATATACTCCCAAGCAGTCAACTCCTCGGTAGCATTCATACTCCCCCAGTTCACAGGAGGCCACTTCAGTGACGGTGACGAATCCAACTCTACAACTTCGCTTTCCTCCCAATCACGTCGTCTAGGTGGAAAGAGGGGCATGGCTCCACATCTTAGCAGCTTAGAAGCTCGGGAACTCAGTTTCCAGTCTGGCCTTCGGTCTTCCATCGGGGTGTCTCGTTCCTGCTACTCGACTGTACATCCTTTCCTTTACCGTCCGTTTCTCTAACCCTCTTCCCATTCGAATCGTCTTGTTCTTTCATATTCAGGTCACCATCGTTTCCACCTGTCTTCCTATTTATATCCCCCCCTTTACTAAAATCTTCAATCTTCATTACATCTCTTGCCTTCTTGTTCATTTCTTCTCTGTATCCTCATCTTCATTCTTGTTCAGATTTCTGTCTTTCTTATTTAAATCTACCCCTCCCTTCTTGTTTATCCTGTGTCCCGCGTCTTTCTTCCCCCTTCTTGTCTTCCCCATGTGCTAAATCATTATTTGTTCTTGATATCATCCTTATCATAAGGCCTGTCATTGTGTCAACCGGTGTGGTTTCGAATCCCTGGTTGTACGTGACAAGGATTAGGGTCGCCTGTCCAACCTCGTGGATTTTCTCCCAGTTTCCTCCCACTGCGAAAGACCCCTACGCGCAAGCGAATTATTTAAATAAAATTACCATATGTTAGTCCCGAAATGACCTAGTTTGTGT